GCTGTAGCACCTTAAACTCAAAGTTTTCATGGATGCAGAATAAGGCAGCCAAAGCAAATGTCATATTTCAATTCCAGAGCAAAAAAAGAATCAGCATGTACCTGGTTTACACTGTGTTTCTTTAAAGAAAATTCAAAGGCTATTGTTTGCCAGGCGGAAGCAATTATTCTGAGATATGAGTCTCTCTCCTTTATTGTTTTTGAAACTCTCATATTTGCAGTCTGGGACAGACCTGAATTTTTAGAACTATAGAAAAGCTATAGTCTTCATAAGTTAAAAAAAAAAAAAAAATGAGGCAACCACACCAGAGATCAAGAAGCTGGACTGAAACAGGCACTTCAAATTGTGTGCTAATTTACTTCTCAGTTCAGTTTAATTTTAAAAAACTCACAGGACATAATAGGGCAGTAGTGTTAAATTTAAAATACACGATGGGGATTTTTTTTTAAAGTATGAGAATATTACTGTATTTTTAAAGGTTTTTTTTTTAATTTGATGTTTGTTCCTTGTCAAGTTCTCTGAAGATCTATGGACTGGCCATGAATTTTTTAAGTGACTAGAGACTTTTTTATTGGTTTTTGTCTGAAATTTCCTGTAATGTATTTATCACTTCATTTTGTATATTATATCTATCTTTCTATAGATAGATATATAAAAATAAATATACAGTAATTCCTCATTTAACACTATAGATGCGTTTCTGAACATGTTCGTGCTAAGTGAAAACGTGCTGAACGGGGTCAATTTTCCCATTAAAAATAATGGAAAAAGTGGGGGTTGCGATTCAAGTGGAGTGGCAAAGTCAATTTTTTCTTGGTGCTGAGTCATCAACATAAACATTAGATATCTAGCAACACAAGTCGCCACAGTTTGTTAAAACACAAAGATAAACATGTGAGTGAGTGAAGGACCACTGTGACTGCATGTATTTATGCACTCATGCATATTACCACTATTTTCACCAACTTATACTGCCACATGAATTAATCCGCCATTTAAATATTTTTGTGTTATTTCGGGGACGGTTGTGTTGTTTGAAAAATGTTCCCTAAAAAAAAATTGTGCTATTGTGAAAACGTATTAAGCAGGCACATGTTAAATGAGTAATTACTGTATAATACAGTATACAGTATTGTATAGTGTATAATACAGTATAATAGCTCTTCACACTCTATCCACCACTATTTTGGCTCTTCATCTCTAACTGGTTGGCCACCCCTGGTTTACAGGGTACTTTTCTAGGAGTTATATTTAACCCTTGGACTACTACCATTTCCCATGGAGTCATCACCAAATGAATACTGCAGGAGGATAACCATCACTACCTGAGCAGCTAGAAAGAATATTTTAATTCTATCCACACTCCAGGACCCACCACTTTGGTTATCCTACATTTCCCCACTTACCCACAGCAGAGCTTTTTGCTGAGGTGTGGTAGTGACATTACTCAAATTATATTTTGTCATTTGGTGAATGTTAATCTGTCAAAGTTCTATCTTTGCAGCTTTAATTTGAGACATGATGACATGCACTGCAGCCCCAGTTGTTGGGGTTACTTTTATGTTCTCTTCATGCCAGACAGGATTCTTTCCAATAGCACCATATGTCAAAAACTCCAACCAATTCCAGTCATGTACTCACACTGTACAGCTGTCACTGCTATAATTATTAAAACTAAAGCCCAGAGAAGTTTGTAGTTTTGGAATTGCTCTGGTCTCCTTAGATCTTTACTACTGATGTTATAGCTGATTAGGACCCTGCTAGCCTTCTGTTGGTCTCTTGAAAACTGCTGTAATTCTCATTTATCATGGAAGCTAACCAGCTGCTCCAGAGCCATCCCTTCAAAACATGTTACTTGATGTTAGGCTTTCCTGTTGTCCTGACCTTGGATGTTCAAACAAAGGGCACTTATTATATTGGAATTACTTATTATACAGAGTCCCGCTAACCACGTTCTGTACGCAAAATATGAAAACATAATTTATGTACCTGATGTCACCAATACTGCTGTCAATCTGCCTTCTTTTCTTCGTCATTTTGCTATAGTTTCATTGCTAGAGAGTGAGAGACTGTGACCTCTTGGAATGCTCTTATATCATTCAATCATTGGGCTTTTGGCATGAATGTCTATCTTGTTATTAGCAGTATGAAACGACCCCTGAAATCTGAGTTTGAAGTTCTTGCATTTACTTTTATTACCTTTGGATAAGAATTATATAACTGAGAATCTTCTGATTCACACTGAAACTGAGTAAGAAGTTGAGCCATTTGCTTTTCTATTAAAAATCCTCTAGTTGAAGCTTTGTGATTGCAAGGTATTTTATAATTTTAGCATGTTTGACAACCACTGCTAAAATTTATCACAGTACAGGTCAGATCTGAGCAGTACACACAGCAGGATCTTTTCAAACTACAGATTTGCATTTTATACCTAAACTCTTCTTGATCCATCACATCTCATTAAGTAGATAGTAACTAGCCTGTCTTTAGAACCCAAAACAGTGTTTTGAGAATCCTGCTCCTGCCTGTTATTTATTTATTTTCTTGGGTTTTAGAACAATCTAAAGTATTCATACACGGGCTCTAAGTGCTTGATCCATTATTTTATATAACAAAACCAAAGGCACAAATTAACTAGCTCATTTCATTGACCAAGCAGCAACTCAAAAGAACAGCCACATTAGGTCAGACCAAAGGTCCATTTAGCCCAGTATTCTGTTTTCCAACAGTAGCCAATGCCAAGTGCTTCAGAAAGAATGAATAGAAGAGGTCACATAATCATCAAGTGATCCATCCACTATCCCAGTGTTTCTCAAAGTACTCCATGGACCCACTCTGAGACAGCAGCTATTGGACCGCTCTGGTTTGCTTACTTACTGCCTCCACAGTCATAGAGCCTTGTGGCTCCTATTGGCTGCAGTTCGCTGTTTGTAGTCAAGTGGAACCTCAGGAAGCAGTGTGACCCAAGCCAAGAGGCTCCATGGCTGCAGAGCCAGTAAGTAAACAAACTGGAGTGGCCCAGTAGCAGCTTTCTCAGAATAGGTCCATGGACCACTTTGAGAAACACTGCCCTGGCTGCAGAGCCAGTAAGTAAAAAAACGGACTTGCACTTTCCTGTGAGTCTTACAGAACTTTTTAAAGAAAGCTTCCAATCATTTGATTTGGGATGGAGGCAGTATTGGAGGGATTTGGCGGATGTTTTGTGTGTGCACAGTCCTTTGCATCTATCCCTTTATGTATTTTCTTAATGGGATAGGTACTCAGAGAAAGGAAGGGTAGCTGTGGGTGTTTTTTATACAGGTGGACAAAATCAGTCATGTAAAGAATGGTTTGTTAGATTCTGATGTGGTTCATGTGGGTCAATTCATTATAGACAAATGTGTTGCATAGGTTTCAGTGGGGATGATAGAATTGGAGTGGTGAAAATGAGAGTCTGATTTGACTTGCTAAAGAGCCTTTATTATTATTACAGGGTACACTCTGAAATCCCAAGTTATTTGCAAGACTGGCACTTAGAGAAATTCTTCTTATTTAACTGAGCATATTTGATATGGAAATCAATGAGAGACTATAAACATGGACCCCCAGAATGCCATTTTGGTCATTTTGTTTTTGTAAAATCAGATTATAAAAGAATCCAGTTATACTGCATCAGATTTTTAAACGTTGATAACTGATGGACTGATATGATGTGGTAAGCAAATGTTTTATTATAATTTGATTATCTATTTCTTTTAACTATATGTTTTTGTTTCTTTTAAGTTACGACATAATAATAGATAAAACCCTCAAAAAGTCTATTATTCATAATATATCAGTGATATTTTTAGCATGGTATGAGAAGTGTGCTAGGCTGACTCTGCTAGGCAAAGCAAACTTACTTTTGTCATTATTGCCTTTTTACTGTTTGTTACAATACTGTATATTACATTTACAGTATTGAACCATCACTTGTGTATAATGTGTAGCCATAATTAATTATTTGTGATAAATATTAGTATAGTAAATACAACTTCTCTGTGTTATAAAAGTGGCATTAAGAAACAGAATTCCATAAAAGCCAAATGTATAGCATGATCATTCTAAAGCAGTCTAAAAATATGATATATTTAAGCTAAAGACACTCACAAATGCACGTTTGTCTGTATGGAGGGGGAGGGAGAGGAGGACTGGTTTATGCTTAGAATGTTTTTTGATGCATAAATAGGAGCATTAAATAATTTTGAATACCTTGTTTCCTAAAAAAGATTAGTAGCTCTTCTCTAAGTGCTAAATTGTACAAGAGTTATTATTCACACCAGTCTTCATACTGTATAGTTCCATGCAGCTTTAAATAACCAAGTCCAAATTATGCTCAGCAAGCTGTTGGGCAAGCTTGGGGAAAGCTGAAAGCTGAAGGGCTTATTTGTGCCCCAACTTACATTTGGTACAACCCCACAGGTGTCAGGCTTGGTGTCCAGGGTGAAAGGCAGCACAGAATTTAACTTGGAATGTTTTAGTTTTTATTTAACCCGGCTCTTTTTCCTGGGTTAAGCATCACATTCCAGTGTAAAGCAATAACGTGCCTATATATATCAGTTTACAAAAAGGAGCAATCCCTCCACCCCATTTCTTCTGTTCTTCCTCTCGTTTTTAGCATACTGAGCAGTTTTGTCTGTGCTTAGAGTCAGAGTTAACGTGAAACATGTTCTTAAAGAATCCTACATACTCAGTTACAAAAACTTGTGCTGGATCACAATTGGAACCATATAGTGCAAACTTTCCACATGGCATCAAAGGACAACAGAGGATAGTCTTTGTATGAAATCCACATGCTATATGATAATGGGCATAGACTATTTTCCTAAAGAGATGAGTGAGTCAGTTCCTTTTTTGGAGCATCTTGGGGCCTGCACTGCTCTAGTTTCTGAAGAGATTCCATTTGTGATGCTATATCTAACATCCGAGCCATTGGGGAACAGGGCTGCAGTAACCTTGGCTTCGAGCAACTAGAGAGCAAGCCAGCTACAGAGATTCAAACACTCAATGTGATTTTCTTTGCTTGATTTTTATACAACCCTTTTAGTTTGTTTAGGAGTGATCTTCATACTGCTAATTAGAGGGATTGAAATAAAGGTAGTTTGGACCAAGATTCATCTCCCTATCATTATATCGTAGTAACTTTGAGTTGACTTTATTCCCTTGCGTAATATAGCCACGAGAAAAGCTTTACTTTTAGATAATGTTAAGAGAGTGACAGAAAGTGACAAAAGCAAAGATTTTCAAGCCTAGAAACTCACTCAAGCTGTGAGAGTAATTTCACATTCCGAGTGAGAGAAGTGAAAGGAACACTTCCGCTCTGTTTTAGGACAAGGTGAAAGATTCAACTTTTGCAACATTTATGTTGTGAAACTGTCAGTTCTACTGTAATTAGGCTTGTGTCTGCTTAATTTAACAGTAATAACCGTGGGCTAGACAAATACAGCCTGGCAAATCTGGAGATATCCACATTATATCTGCAGGTATCAGCATCTGTGACTCATTTTTGCAGTTACAGATACAAATATTGTATCCATCCATCACTTGACAAATACACTCCAGTCCACCACATGCATGGACTATGCTCTTGTTTGGCAAGTAGTCCCATGGATATCAGCTGTTCCACAAATACCAGCAAAACTATGTGTATAGTGAGTAAGGGGAGGCAGGATCTTTTTGTGGTTCCTGCACTTCCCCCACAATGTAGGGGTGCAGAGCTTCCTGAGTGGTCAACCTCATCCTCAAGGCACTGCCACTAATTATAGTCATAGCAGAGATCTGTGGCTAAAGCTGCATTATGGCTGCACTATCTGTCTGTTGGTGCATTATGGCTGCACTATCATGTCTTGGGATAACTCTTTTAATGAGACTACTCCATGATTCATAGCTTCCAGAGTGGGATATGCTGCTCAATCTTTGCAAACTTCCTCTCCTTGGAATAATCCAAGGAAAGTACTAATAACTTAATTACCATTCTCTGCTGGCCTTGCATGATAACATCCATGTGAGGATGGAGTCTAGTCATATAGTACTAGTAGATTTTAAAAGTCCTTCAGTCAACATGATAATATTACATCTTGGCTCCATGCTCATTGGCCATACCAAACTTTGTTATAGCTGTGTTTAATTACTATGTTTAACTCTGTTGTTAACCTTGGCTCTATTGGCATTAGATGAGCCATTTTTAAATAATTACACTAAGAACAATCAGGGGTTTTCTTTTTGCCAATTTATCACTTCAAAAAGTTTAGTAATCTTCAGATTAGTTTTAGACCTTTGTCTGCAATTAGAGACATAATAAAAGTCTGATTTTGTCCGCATGCAGTTTGGTATTTTCAAAGCTATTTAATTTTCCACACATAGGGCATGACTACACTCTGGGGAAGATCGATGCTACCATGATCATTTTCCTTGGTTTGATTTAGCAGGTCTAGTGAAGACATGCTAAATCAAATTCAGAGGACATCCTCATTGGTGCCAGTACTCCTGCTCCCCATGAGGAGTAAGCAAAGCTGACTGGACAGTTTGCTCCCATCAACCTCCCAAAGTGTGGATGGCAGTGTAAGATATGTCAACGCCTTCTATGCTATTAACATAGCTGAAGTTTTGAATCTTAGGTTGATCTTCCATTCCAATGTAGACCAGGCCATATTGTCATTTCTGTGAGCAGTCTTACAGAAGTTATAAGTATTTGGAAATGTTCATTAAGTTTGCAAGATCTATTAGAGAAATATTTCAGGGACATTACAAACTTGTAAGAAATTAATTTGATTCAAGTTTTACTTTATTTAACTGTTCAAACTTGCATGAAGTCCCAGGCAGAGTTTATAGTCTTTCCTGAGAACTGATGGAAATTGTAACCTCCACTTGAAATCTCATACAAATCTCAGTCTCCAGAAAGTTTTGATGGTGCGTGTGAACTCTGTCAAACATATAATGCTAGATACAAAGGATGAGAGAGATTTTTTTTCTGAATAGTATTTCTGTTTACTTCTGGTTCTAGTATCTACCAGATTTCCTCCATGCCAAAGCCTATATGCGGTCCTCATACCATAACATCCCTATCACATCTCCATGGACCCTTTATCTTGTCAACTCCAGTCATTGTTTCATGACCTTTTCTACCCCAGATTTCTTTGAAGATCAAGTTTTCTGCCCCTGCAAGAAATTAGAGGAGAGGATGTACAGAAGAACTGAAGACTGAAAACACCTGCAGGTAAAGTTGAGCTTAAGCCTTCTGCGGAGTGTTGTCCTGGAGGAAGGAAAGATTGAAGCTTGAAATTCAGCTCAGTTTCACTGCACCATTAACAGGTCTGTGGTTTTGTTTCCTTACAAAAGTTTTGGACACTTCATTCCTGTGTAAGCAATTTTGGAAAGATACTTTCATCTGTGGTAGCATTGGCAGGTGAATTTATAAGCTCTATTAATCTTATTTTTAAGATCCCCTTTTGTACTAGAAATTGTTACTCTTTCGGAGATTATAAAACCTGAGTATTTGTCAGAGGTTTCAGGTTTTCAGAAACCTCTGTTCAAAAGGTAAAAAAAACCCACCCAATTATCTTGGGTTATGAGCAAACTAAGTTTGAGAATACATTTTATGTAGAAAATATTAATGGAATATTTTAGTTATTTAAAAAATATTAGATGTGAAAGTAAGAAAATTAATATTTTCCAAGCTATTCTTAGTTCTATCTGACTCCTGACCTAACCCCCACTGACTCCCAAGCTTCTAAACATTCCTGTTTAAATCAAAATAATGGGCACTTGTTCTCCTGGCAACATTTTTTTAAAACAGTAATTAGCTACTGAATTGCAAATCTGGTACTGAATAAGGGATTAAGACTTGTCTTTCCACCAGAATCCTTTTTCTATTAAGAAACCATAGACTATAGTATTTTATATAATTTTTCAGTATGAGTTGGAAATTTTCCCAGTCCAAATTCTCACTACTGGTTTGTTATACAATTATATCATTTGTCACTACTTTAAATAGGTAAGACTGGTATGTTGTTTACCTTCCTGATTAACTTCTTTTTAGAGGTCACAGGTCTCAAAACAAAGAATATTTTCTTTATAAAATATCATACAGATGTAACTCACATGCTTCATTAGATAAAATTCTTGATTCACAAATTGTCAAGTGCATATGTGCAACTATCTGGGGCCAGAAATCACATTTTCATAACACTTTACAATATGAATTAATTTAATTCGTACACCCCTATCAGCTGGATGAATGTGAAGTTGCCCATTTTAATGATCCATAAACTGAGGTATGTAAAGATTAAGTGACTCATCCCAAGTCATCAATGACTCATTATCTAAAACAGATCTTAGTGTCCTGCCCTAACCATTGGAAAATCCTTTCTCTTTTACACTACACCTCGTCTATGGACAAATTCTCCTAATACACAGTTTAATACAGTTTCAATATAGTGTTTTTCCATACAAACAGATACAGAGATTTGTGTAGGGCAGCTATTCCTACAATATTGTTACTACATTGCCCCAACATGAAAGTTTGATTTTAATTTATCTGAATGAATAAAACCCTAACACTATCACTTGATAATAATTCTTCTGGGAACAAACATTCTGGCCTACAGAGGCCAGTATGTAAACTGGCATGGACTTGACCTACACTGACTTTTTTGTGTTCGCATAAAAGTTTGCATAAATTTCTTTTCATAATGGGAGCTTGTATGCCATGGTTTAAATGAATGGGTGATATTTTATAGTCTTGTTATAATAGAAATGTTCACCTTAATTATTGCAACGTGAATGGCTTACAAAATAATATATGGAAAATGAAGTAAATAATATAAACATATAATTATATTTTGTACTATAATGTCCACAGAAACATAAAACTAACAATATGACTTAAAAAATGAAACAGAACTGGAAGTGCCCTAGTTAGTTATTTTGATCCCTTGCTAGCATCCAACCCTCCTCTTCAATAAAGAAAATAAAATCCCCCATGTTTTAGGGGGGAAAGCTGTCGTATTATTACTATTACTTCTAAATACAAACCCTGAGTGCATGGACTTCTAAACAAGTGCTTTATTCTTGAAAATTAAAATAAAATATTTTCATGTAATCAGTAAATTCTGCTGTGAAACTTTATAGCAGCCACATTAAAGAATAAGAATAACTACTATTTTGAAATTCTGAATATCTTATAATTAGACCAGCCCTTAAGAAATATTCAGAGTTAAGGCACATTAAAATGTATTCCACAACATGGAGACAGCCCTGACAAAGAAACATTATTCTTAGATTTACAATTAATTACCCTTATGTCTATACCTTGCATTCAATTTGCATATCTTAAAAGTGCTGTAAATTTCATAGCATTCCCTTGTTATTTAAGATCATTACGCTTAGTAAAAGTTTCTACAGTGATAACTTTCTCTTGATTATGTAGTTGCGAGGTCAATAAATCTGGCTTTACTTTGCTCTACAATGTTATAATTTTTCTTTTTGTGTGTGTTTTTCATTATTTTGCTCCTTGTTCCTTCTGCCCTCTCATTTATAATCCCCTGAAGAACCAGTAGATAGAGAAGTCTGGCTAGAAGACGAAGTGAGTGGTCAGATTCTCAGATGTTATCTTTTTCCCAGAACGCACTGGTACTGGGTGTCTGACATGTTCTATACATCTTTCTAGTGTCAACCTCATTAAACAAATACAACTTGATGTATAGCTCTCAAGAAATGAAATTTCACGCAATGAATTTGTTCTGTTCCAGCTTCTTCTCCTCCTCATCCCCTCTCTCTCTACACTCCCCCTAGTACCGTTTTTAATCAGCAGCGATTTTGTACATTCTTGTTTTCCAGTTGTAATTTTACATGGTCACTAGTGATAATTTCGTAACATTTTTGGCACAATGTTTCAGACCTTTATAAAAGTTTCTCATTTTACATAAACTACATCAGGTTTGTTGTATTCTCCGTAAGGATTATTAGCCTTGTATAAAATTTGATATATATAGTCTTTGGAATAATGTTCAGTATGTTTACTTTGATCAGATATACATGTAATTCAATCCTAAATATGAGATACATCTGCTGTCACATGCATGTTGTAAATGTGCTGAACTTTCATAAGTAACAGGGTCTAAATGTGCTAGAAGTGTGGTTTATAGTCTAATTCAAGGTTAACACAATACCCTCCAAGCTAGAAAGACAATGAACACTTTGCCAGAATAGTAAATAGCATGCCCATCCTTTCCCCGTTCTTTAGCCTAAAACATTTTAAAGAAGACATATATTTTAAAACTAAAATAAACTCCCCATTTAATGAGACGATCTACTATTTACAGAAAAATGCCACTAAACTCAATTAGTGCTGGTCTCACCAAGGGTGCAAATTGGAGTTGTTGAATCTTTTTTTTTAATGCAGTTCATTGCAGTCATTTACTGAGTCTAGGCTGATGCTCCAGTTTTAATCATGTGTAAAAAGTGTAGCATATAAGGTAACAGCAACATGCTGTATAAGTATTTTTAGATGCTTTGCTTTAAAAATATACAGCCTGAAACTTGAATACGTTTTTCTTTAGCTTGTTTTTTATAAAAATAAAGGCATTTTATTTTTATCTTACACAGTTTCCCATTGTCCCCTCCTCAGTATTATTAATTAAAGTTATTTTTTAAAGTTAATGTGACTATCATTTCCCTGTAATATCTCACTGGAATAGTGCATTATTTAAAACCAGCTTTGGAAGAAAATAGCAGCCATTTTACACACTTGCCTCTTGCCCGGAAACAGAGTAATGGTAATCAGAAGTATAATCAGCATTATAGTAATTATTAACTATGGTTCATGAATTAAGCAAAGTTCCTGAACACTGTACTTTGCTTTCTTATAGACTTATAGTCATTTTACAATTTAAAGGTAGGTGTGTGTGTGTGTGTGTGTGTGTGTGTGTGTGTGTGTGTGTGTGTGTATATATATATATATATAAAATGAAATTATGTTTTTATTCCCTTGGGAGTTGGTGTTGAATATGTGGGGAAGCACAGGAAGGCAAATTTAACAAATATATTCATCTCCGATTCTGAATTTGTCTCAGACCTTTTAATATATATGTAGGTTTAAGATTTAAAGTAACTACACATAGCCTGGGTTATGGGTTTGATTACAAACAAATGAGAATTTGGAACTATTCTAATATAGCAGTTCTATTTAAATGATTTTTAAAATCCTTCCCAAAATTCCATAATTCTGTTTCAAAGAGTATAACACAGCAATGTAAATTAGCTACTCCTAGAATACCTTGGCAAAAGTATTCAAGTAGCAAGAGTTTTTCTAGTCTTATGTCCTATATACATCTGTTAAATTACTCAGAGATCTCATTAAATAAAGCTAATGTACTTGTAAAACAGTAGGGAGAGACAGTATATCATTGTAACTGTTAGAAAGAGCCATTCTGGCAAGGAGGGAGCCAAGAAGGCTAGGTGTATGCTGGTCAGTGTAGATGTTTCTAGGCCATAAATCTTGGCCCTTTCCTGCCTAGTTATTGTGTATTTCTTTAGGTGAGAGATTGATTGTAGCAGTGGAAGATGAATTTGCCCACAGACCCTTTCTTCTTTTTTTTTTATACTCCTGATGCCTCGCCAAGGTGATAATGCTTTTTTTTTTCTCCCTGCAATCATTTGTTTCAGATTAAAAGCATGAAGAAACATAAGAAGGCTCGTCTGCAGTCGGGCAGACATGAGGGCATGAAGACATATAACTGTCCCAGGTGTGAGGAGAGTGCATTTTACCTCTAGAGGATTTGTAACCTGTTTAACTGAAGGAGAATCATCAAGAGTAAAATTCATGGAGGAGCCCTAGTGTTTCTTATTGTGGATTTTAAGCACATTTTAATTTTTAAAAATGATGCTAAATGGCATAATATTATTAAAATATTACTCCCTTGTCTATTTACTGTTGTGCAATTCACAGGAGCAAATAATAATAATAATAATAATAATACCCCTGGATTATACCACGTACTGAATAGGGGAATATATGAATATATATAAATGCTGAATTTATAAGGATCAATATAGTCACAAATGTTGTACAACATGTCAGGATATCATAAAAAGCAGGCAGTTCTACATAAAATACCAGCTTAATCTTCGAGATTTTAAAGCCTCGTTAAAATGTGGATAAAGTCCATATATGGAATGGCAGCATTCAAAAGGTTGAAGTTGTATATCTGTGGTGCAGAAATCTTAGCCATTACATTTGAATGTCATTCGACTCATTTGATCACAATTGGTATTTACATGTAAAAAGTTTTATCAGTACATTATCTTACCCCAAAGTATTTGTTGTATGAAAACTATGTATCATAATGAATAAACTGCCTCTTTAGCTCATAGCATCTGTGATCCTGAAATGGATTTTGTGGTATGAGCTAATTTGTTAGGAAGTATATTACATCGCAGCATATTACTTCTGAGGCATAATTTAACTAAGCATAGGCCCCACTGTTTAACTGGGCATAACAAGAGGGATAGAAGTGACAGAGTGGCCCTTCCATGTCCAAAATAAGGTTATGGGCAGGTAATCAGATACCATAGTAACAAGTAGGGTATGGGAACCTGATTAGCTGGTTTTAAAAAACTGCAGTGCATGATTGTGGCTGCCAATCTTTTAACATTCAAAAACACATATATCATGTGCATGTTTTGGTGTTTATGTAACACAGACTTTGAAAATGATTTCACTTCTAAATAGTAAAAATATTACTTTCTCTGTTGTTTTCTTGCCAGATTTGGGATGTTCAAATAATACTTTCTGCAATCTTGCCTGACAAAGTTACTTAGTGGTAAAGAAAAAAAAACAAAAAACAAGAACATAAAAGAAGAAGATCTGGATCATATGTATTTTTTTCATCAAGAAACTTTGAAAGTCAAGCAAGTATTTTTTTTATCTTGACCTTTCTACAATACTGCCCTATATTCACAAGTTGTCAGCACATGTTTGTCTGGAGTCATCCGTCACTGCCATCCGTCACTCCTCTGCCATTCCCATCAGTCCCATTATCTGGGATCAAGAGAGAGCTGAGGATGTAGCCTGAAGGATCATTAAACCTTAGCTTCCAGGTATTGCAGGTAGTCCAGGTGGCCTGTTGTTATTTATAATAAAGAAACAACACAGCAGAACTGCTTGATAGTGGCCCATGAGGCCTCATGAAAGGACGGGCTGAGAGATGTCATCACTGAAGGACAGCTAAAAGTGGTGGACTTTCTTCCCCCCTTGCAGTAAGCAGAGAGAATTTATTGAACATCTGTTCAGTACATGGCTGGGAAGATTGATTAATTTAATTGCTCACACTTTGCTTAAGTAACATTTGAATACTTAATGTCAGGTTTGAAGGATATTACAGGGTTTCCTACACACCTTCTTTTTAAAGAGACAGAGTTTCCGATTGCTTTTGGTGTCTTTCTGGGAAGTTGAAATGCATCCTAAAATTTACTTTGTATTCGAGTCCATCAAAAGAAGCACATGGGAAATGCTGCCTTTTCATAAAAGCAACTAGCTATTTTTCATATTTTGCCCATCATTATCAATCATTAGTGTAACAAGTTTGGCTCTTCTTTACTGAGTGGTGGTAATTTTCCCTCTGGTATCAACTGTAGAGACAGTTCTGCATATTATATATTTCTGTACCCTTTAACATAATACCATGATTGTACTGAAGTAGTAGATGAGTTAAAGCTGCAATAATTTATTGCAAGTTCCATTCAGACAGTGAGTTTGGGAGGAAATTTGTGAAATCCTCACAGGAAAAAATACATTAATGGAGTAACATTAAACAATGGAATGTTTGATATAATTCCATCATCTATGGTAATAGAATACTCAAATAAAAAATATGAATGGGCTCTTCGGGGTACAGTGGTCATCATGTAAAAGAAAAATTTTACCATCTTTATTGCACCTACTTCGCATTCTAAGAATAGAATAAGATTCATTTCAGCGTTTTACAGGATCAGTCTCTGTTGACTGCTGATAAATGCAGACTATCTATTGGCGATCATTGTATGGTGGAAAATAAATGTGAAGTTGCATGTTCTACTACACAGTAAAACTGTGTTACCATCTCCATCATTGGAGGTTAACCTAATAAAAATCGACTGACTGATTTGTGGTTCTTTTAGAAAGGCATGTATTTTTTACTCCTAAAATCCTAAACCTCAGTTCTCTAGTTAAGATGTTCTTGGATCTTACTGTGCCACTGATGGTTGTAAGTCTTATGAACATATATGACATCTTTAAATATTTGACTTAGGTTTTGTGTAATTTGTTTTGAAACTGTTAGCACAGTAAATAGGCAATGATTACATAGTAGTATTACATGCAATATTCTCATAACGATGCTTAAATTTGAGAGAGTAGAGATTTAACAGTGCTGAATTACTAAATTATTACTTTCAGACAGAAAAAAAAGAAAAGCCCAGAAATGAAAGGCCTCATATAAGGTTGCATAAAACAGAGCAATGGTATCATGTAGTAGTACTTAATAATGGCACTGGCATTTTGTTAGCATCTCTACAAGGAAAAATTGTTCTTAGAAAAGGATAATCTACAGTCAAATCTGATTGAAGTCAAAAGAAACATTGGCCGATTTCTTTGAAAGATGCCCGTCTGTCCCTGAATTTGACCGTACACAATACATCCTGCAACATCGAGTCAGATTGTCAAGGCCAGAACCAGGTGCCTATGTTACTTGTATCCTTCTACATCAGTCATACTGTAGGGAGCAGACAATTAATTCTGGAGCAAAATTGAAAGTCAGAGGCAGAGTGTGAAAGAACAGAATGACAATAATAAAGTGCCCCTGCCTCACATTAATCTCCCTCACTTCAGGGCTGTCAGAGGCGGCCTGGCGGTGACTAATGCCAAGCTTTGCATACAGTGGTCACAGACATGAGCAGCATGCTCCCTTTACAGCATCCGCGATTCGCTTTGTTGAGTTTTTGACTCCTGTGGAATCATTGAAAAAACATAGCCCCCGGTCATAAGTAACAGGACCAAGTTCCTTCATCATACACCTATTGATCGATGTGCAGGATCCCAAGACTTCACTTAAAAAAATGGAAACCTGACAAATGCAGTGAGTTTAAACTAACTTTTAGAACAGATGAATTCAGCAGATAAGGGTTAATAAGTTGAGGAAATGCATATTATGTGCAAGCCCAAGCACAGAGACAAAATGATCTTGCACCTCTCTAGATTCGCTAGTCCATTAACATTGCAAAAGACTTTGATGCACATTTGGGAATTGTGTTCCATTGATTTTATTGTCATCTTTTTGCACAAATAGTAAATAGGCTAACATTTGAGGTACAGTGTAATTATTCCCGAAAAGCAAGACATCAATGTAAAGTTTATTGTTGTAGACCAGACATTTTGACAGGAATACTGTAATGTCCCAGAAGTGTCACTGGGTTACTGAAAAGGTTAAAAATTGGTGCATAGTGTCGGGGAAAAAAAGCAGTAACAACAAACAGCATTCAAGAATCTCAAGCACTTCAGTGGGAAAGTGGAAATGTGTCATTTAAGAACACTCATCTACTGTAGGAGGATCACTGTACCGAAGAAGAAAGTGAAACATACCTAATGAAAATGCTTCCTTCTCTATCAGTGTTTCAAGGCTATCTCTCATTACTTAAATTGCAGAAATAACTTTCAACTCCAGTTCCTCTTTTTATTGCATGAAAATCCCACACATGCCAATGTGTTGTGCAATGTGATATGGCTGTAACTGAAATTTTTATTTATCTTTTCTGATAATTGTGGGGAGACATTTCCACGCAAAATTAACATTCTTGCTAGGCTATTTTGCTTCTTCCTTTGTGTACAAGAGAGTCTAGGAGAACAGTATGCTTATAGTACCATTTATAGAGTGTTATATTCAACCAGGAAAAAGTATGTATAGTCTTGCGCTGTATTCAGCCAGCAAAGAAGCTTTCATCAGAATCTAAGCTAGACCAGGAAAGCAGCATGCAATAGTTTGCTGTACTATACCAAGAAAAGCACATGTTTCTTTATATATTTCTTATATTTGAATAAGATGAGAGCCAAGCATACTAAATATCCAGCCCATAAAGAAGATGAGGGGTGAAGGAATCACACTTGTGTAATCAGTTTAAAAGATTCCTGAGTATAAAATCTTCAGAAAAGGTCTTTAAAAGTGCTTAGCATTGACATAATTAAATCTACCACATTTAGGTCAACTGAGGATGCAGGATTCATACACCAATGATTTCTTCAAGACTTCTGAACAATGCTACTCCAGAACACAAATATAGATGTACTGGCATCAGTCTTCCTTTATTTTATCTGAAAATCAGTCAAAATGTTCCATAAAAATACTGTATTAATTTGGTGTTGAAAGTGATTACACTGAAAAAGGTTTCCTGTCAGTTCCAGAGCAAAACATCACATTTTCTGTTCACATAGTTTCCCTTAATGAACTTTTACAAGATATTCAGTAACAGTCAATGAAAATTGTTCAGGAAGACATATCTATTTACTTATGCTTGACTTTGGCAAATAACTTTTTGAGGTTCAATTATAACAGTCCAGTTATTATATAAAAATCTGAGTTACAGTCTGTAATCTCAGTCACTGCTTCACCTTAACAGCAGTAGATCCTTTATCCTCACTGCAGAAATTGGAGAAGGTCCAGAGAAGAGCAACACAAATGATTAAAGGTCTAGAAAACATGACCTATGGAGGAAGACTGAAAGAATTGGGTTTGTTTAGTTTGGAAAGGAGAAGACTGAGAGGGGACATGATAGCAGTTTTCAGGTATCTAAAAGGGTGTCACAAGGAGGAGGGAGAAAAATTGTTCTCCTTGGCCTCTGAGGATAGGACAAGAAAAAATGGGCTTAAACTGCAGCAAGGGAGGCTTAGGCAATGGACATTAGGAAAAACTTCCTAACTGTCCGGATTGTTAAACACTGGAATAAGTTGCCTAGGGACATTATGGAATCTCCATCTTTGGAGATATTTAAGAGTGGGTTAGATAGACATCTATCAGGGATAGTCTAGTTGGTAGTGGGTCCTGCCGTAAGGGTAGGGGACTGGATTCAATGACCTCTTGAGATCCCTTCCAGTTCTCGTGTCCTATGCTTCTATGATTCTACTATTGGTGAAACAAATTGTGAAAGAAACAAGCTTTAGAACTACGCAGAGCTCTTCTTCAGGTATAACAGAAGTTGGTCCAATATAAAATATTACCCCACCCTTTTTGTCTCTTATCTCATCTCTAACAGTTCAAGATTAAGAGAGGTTGGTGGGCTGATATATGGAGATTTTACATTGTTTTTGCTATGCTGTATTAGTTCTGTGAACACACAAAGATCTTAATTCTCCAGCTCTGTCAAACTGCCATCATTTACATTGTATTCATGTAGGGTTAAATCTTAGTCCAATTGAAATCAACAGAAGTTTTGCTATTGTTTTCTGTGGGATCAGAATTTGACCCATAATTTTAAAAAATGAAAGAAAATCCCACAAGCAAAAAGACCCCTGCTGACTGTTTTAAAAAAACAAAACAGAACAAACCTGGGAAAGTGTGTTTTTTAGTTTTTTCTTTCTATCTTCAAAAGACATTTCCTGTTCATGCTACCCACGGTGAGGAAAGTGGAATAATGCATAAGTAAATGGCATGATCAAACACATAAAGTTAAATAAAAGGAAGCTTTGGTGACATTAGCACATTACAACACAATATAGCATATCAACTTTTCCACTGGTCTCACTTTAGCCTTTGATTTTTTTGAACCTCCAAACTGTGCATGCAGACATAGTTGCACATGCAAATCTGATTATTTATGTGCTTAGCTACTCAGTTTACATCCATAGTACCATTAGTATACACAAAATTGAGCCAAAGTGCATTACACAGTATCTTAAAAAATGAAGCAATTGGTTTTTGATATACGGTTCCACATATCTATTAGGGTATGTCTACACTACAGCACTAATTTGAACTAACTTAATTCGAATTAGTTAATTCGAACTAAGCTAATTCGAACTAGTGCATCTAGACCTAAAAACTAGTTCGAATTAGCATTTTGCTAATTTGAACTAGCATGTCCACATTGAGTGGACCCTGAACCAAAGTTAAGGCTGGCCGGAAGCAGTGCCAGCAGGGCATCAGATTAGGACTTAGAGCGTGGAGCTGCTGTCTCAGGCTAGCTGAGGGCTGTGCTTAAAGGGACCCGACCCCCACCCCGGACAGACAGTTCTCAGGGGTTCCCCACTTGCTTGTCTACCTTGATGAGGGACAGCAAAGCAGTCCTGGCTTGGAGTGCCCTGAATGCCCATACTTGGCACATCACAGCACTCAGCCATCAGCCTGGCTGCACTTGCCGCAGGCTGCCATCTGGGGGGGGTCAATCGGGGGGGCTGCAGGAGAGCTTCCACCCCGAGGAGCCCGCAGAGCCA